CGTCATCACTTTCCTAGGGACAGACACAACTTACTCTTCTCTATAATTATGTGAATTGTTCTTCATATGGCTGTCAAATTTTACCTTGTAACACAATTTTCCTGACCTGTTTCAAATTTTCACTGTTGAATTGAAAGGCTGAACTTACCACGTGCATTTGCTCTAATAACACAGAAGTTGCAGAAGGAAGGAGTTCTTGTGGCATTAAGGTCTCGTCGTGATAAGCTTATGCCTGGAACAAATATATACATCGTCGACTCATTAGGTTCATGTACTTTCAACATCACGCCTTCTTTCTTGGATAAACATTTTTGTTGAAACTTGAAGTTCAGATGCCATCATCAAATTTTTTTCTTTTCCTTTTGTTTTTCAATTGTTAGTCACTCATCAGTGTCCTAATTTTATTTATTTTTAATCATCAGTAGCCCCTGTCTGGAATAAAGGCATTTATAACCAATATTTTCTTTTGCACTGCAATATTATTAAACCAGGAAACACCGTAGTTCTTATTTCCCAGCATGTCTTTGTAGGCATTCTCCTTCAAAGTTATCTTTTATAATTGTAATAATTGAGGCTTTTTTTCTGAAGTGAATGTGATCCTGTTACCTGTATCATTGGTTAGAAGATGCGGGATAAACCTAAACTAAAATGTCATGATGTTATTGCAAAATATTTGATTCCTCAAGATCTTTCTCTAGATTTAGTTATAGATTAAATGCAGTGGGGAGAAACAATTCACGTAGTTGACCTCAGAGTTATTGGAATAAGGATTGTTTTTACCACTGTTGCTGATTTTATTTAAACATAACATTACTTTAGTTTGTTTCATGCTATTGATTTTCTGTTAAACTAAATTGAACTCTTCACTTATATGCATATAAATTTTTATTACTAAATTGCCTTGGCGGTGATTTTTTCCATAAACGAATGGTGAAACTAATTGATGTATACTGAAACTACATAAAAATGCTGTTATTTCTAGGTTCTTCTGAAAATATTATGTCATATGAAGATTTTGTTTAATTTCTGATGTAATAAGACATTCACTTCAAAGAGGTGCAAGCCTTGCTTTGCCTATTGCGCTTGGTCTTTCTCAGTTCTCCACTGAATCAGTTTCTTACCCCTTCTACCTTTTTCATATTCAGTTATTTGATCAGCTGATTGCAAATTCGTGAAATTAATATATAAAAAATGTTATCGTCATTTCAGTCAATCTTTTTCTTTCCCTTCCAAAGTTCTCTTCCCTCATCTGTCTGATTTTGAAATTCTGAAAATCTAACAGGTTTCTTTTATCATGCTTCATTCACATTAGAAAAAATCTTCAGAGTACTCTAAAATGTAAGATAGAACTGATGTTCAGAGTTTTACTTCCCTGTAGGCTCTGCCCTTCTCAGGATTGTCCAAGTAAATATCCGTGAGTTGCTTAAAGATTGCTTGTATTGCCAGTGGAAGATTGCCATAGTCCTTTAAGAATATAAATTTGTGCATGTTTTCTGTCTCCATTTGCTATAGCAGGGCTATTATTAATAAGGCCATCATATTTCTTTGAAATTCATAGGCGAACTGAGAGACTTCTACAGATTGACACCAATAGCTGTTGTAGGAGGGTCTTTCTTACCGGGTTCAGCTGGTCATAATATATCAGAAGCTGCTGCAGCTGGTTGTGCTGTTTTGACTGGTTAGTTCTACATGAGTTCCATCTTACACATATCATTATATGGCGCCAGCTAATAATTCTAAGTTCTCCTTTTTCTTGTTTTATATTTATCAGGTCATCACGTTGGCCACTTCTCACAGATGGCGCTAGAAATGCAACGCTTGAACCCTCTGTCAGTTCTGCAGGTATTTAGAACCATAATTCATATTATTGCATCTCATTTGTTTTGTATATTAACCCACGATGACTAGCAACATATTTCATTTTTCCTTCTATTTTGCGTGTGTTTGGTTTTGGGTGGGGGTGGTAGTGTTTAGGTACTTACCCATATGTGTTCACGGCAGTAATTATGTTCTGAATGTGGCAACTGAATCATTTTATGCTTTTATTCGTCTTCTTTTGGAGTTTGAGATCTCATAAATTTCTTGCAATGTGATAGAAATCTTTGCACTTGAAGTCAACTTGATTAGCAAGCATTATTACTTGAGGGTTCCTGATGTTCCAGATTAATGGGGTGTGGATGCTATAGACAAAGTCCACTAATTTCATCACCTTCCAAATATATATGTGCAAGAAAGAGAGGGATCAACGAGTGGAATCTGGAGAATGTAATGCACAGAGAGAAGTATGCTATCTCATATTGACGATATGCTTAAAGATGAGGCTCAACGCCAAATAACATTATGTAGTTATGTTAGCATAAGGCACCTCTCTCTTTGTTGGACACTTTATAGTGGCATGTGGAAGTAATACTGGTAGAAGTAGCGAAGAAGAAACTAAAAGCAATAGTCCCAGTTTTATCTTCACTGCTAGGAACTTTTTCCCCCTGTATCTCTCCTTTTGAGTTAGCTCTTCAATGTACTGCTTCATTTTTGCAGATTTCTGGAGAAAAGCTTGGAGATGCTGTTAACGAGCTCTTCTGTAATGACAAAATTCTGGAAGAACGCCGTACAGCTGCAAAACATGCTTATCATGCTTTGTCTAGGGGAGTTGTTGAAAACGTATGGCGGCAGTTGCAATTTCACATTTTCAATAAATCCATGCGAGGGATGAATGTTGTAGAGCAGAGAACCTAAAAGTGAAGGAGTTATGTTTACTTGTATATTTAGGTGAGACCATTTGACCCAAGTGCCGGTTTGAATTTTGTGACATCTGAAGTTGGAAATTTTTAATCAAATCACCAACCAATGGGACAATGCTAAAATTTAACCAGGCTTGAAACGAGAGTAATAGAAATTAATTTATATCTCTGGTACCCTCATCATACTCTTATCGGCATGCATTTTGTGAGTTTGGATCATGGTCACTTTCGAAGTCTATCCTCGTTGAAGCACACACTAAACCAGTACAAATTTGTAGTTGATTATCTCTGTGTAATCCCAAACTATGAACCTCTTTGGTGTAGAAGATCATGTCTTGGTGGAACCGGTGAGTTTGGATCATGGTCACTTTCGAAGTCTATCCTCGTTGAAGCACACACTAAACCAGTACAAATTTGTAGTTGATTATCTCTGTGTAATCCCAAACTATGAACCTCTTTGGTGTAGAAGATCATGTCTTGGTGGAACCGGCGAAGAAATCTAGTATGCATATTGCCTTGCTCAATCTTCCTTAACGAGGTCCATAACTTGTTTACTTGTATGATAAAATATGGATATTTTATAGCTAAAAACAAATTAAAAAGATTGAAAATAATAAGTCAATCGAGAAAACCTATATGGTGCGGAAGCAGAATTGGATATCTTGAAACAAGATTAAAGTTGAACCATGTTTGAGCATTTTCACAAATTGTGAAAGTGTTATAAGAAAATTAGTAATTGAAATTTGCAAGATGCCCTATTTGTGAATAAAGTAATAACATGAGGAGGTTCTTGATTGGAAAGAATTAGTGTGCGATCAGCTTATCGTTTTGAGGCCATTTTCAGTTTTTAATTTTCCAAAATATTCAAAACGTGTTTGGTATGTTATTTTAAAAAATGCGTTTTCGAAAAAAAAATGAAAATTTTACAACATAAAATTTAAAATGACTTCTTGATGTTTTGAGTGTTTTCAATGTCATTAAATTATTTCTAAAATTTTTAAACAAAATGCATTTTCTAATTTTTAGTTTTGAAAACCAGTTTTTCAAAATGACAAACTAAACTTTTTTTTTACAATCTCAAAATAATTCTTCAAAATAGAAAATAAAAAATAAATTTAAAACATAAAACACAAACGCAAACGCAAACGCAAACCAAACTCCGGCTGATTCTCTCGAGTTTTATGAACAAGGCACTCTCTTTTAGAGTTACTCTCTAACCACTGGGGCAAATATTTCTTTGATGAGAGACGAGTAAAACATTTTAGGAAGAACCGAAGAAGTGATCCATTTGCCATTTTCCCATTCACGTTGGCTTGAAAGACAAAATACTAACTACCCTCGTCCCACATTTTTTATATTTTATCGATCTTATACGAAAATTCCTTTACAAATGCTTTTTTCAAGAATCATGAATTATTATTTTTCGATATTTTTTGAGTTTAGGATTTGTTCATTATTTTATTGCCCGACTTTGATATTAAAGTATAAGAATCCAATTTATCACTTGCTAAATTCCTTTCAAACATTTTATTCGGTCCTTGTTTGGATTCAAATTACAAATAAAAACGTAGTCCATATGGTAGAAAATGAAATCTATAAATTATAAAATTACAAGTAAAAATGTAGTCCATGTAATAGAAAAGGAATTGATTTAATTAATTAGAGTTAATATCAATATTTTGATTATAGATAATTTAAGAATCTAAAAGCATAAATAGATAAGCTACAGCTTCGCTACTTTGTAAAATATGTTACAAATTCTTCTATAATTAATTTTTTTAAATATATCCAATTTAATTACATTTTTTTATTAGACAATTAAAAGTTGGGCTCTAAATCAATCTCCTCCAACCGTTTATCATACTTTCCATATGATTTAAACAAAACCATTTGACTTCATCTATACGTCCTTGGCTCGAGATGTGCACGAAGGATATCAAAGATGCACTAATCGTCCGATGAATGATCTATAGAAAATTGCCCTACGATTTATCATAATTTCTTAAGCCAAGCCCATACCCTCAAAAGCGACTCGAGCTCAAGAAGAGCCCAAGCAAGGTGGTTCACTTTTATAGCCCCAACACTTGACTACAGTGAGCCGTGGGTCGCATTGTACTCTTTCGCTTCGTTATTTGCGCAAAGCACCACATTCTTTCTTCAATTACTATCACTAGAGAAAGCATCACAGAACAAAACATCTTGTGCAGTTGACAACTTTCTGGGCTCAAATATGAAAGGAAAAACTAGAATAATGTCAGAACAGAAGCAAAAAAGCACTGAAACTTAAAACTAGGATGAGTCAGGTCTCCCAAAGAATATAACTAGAATTCCTTAACTCCACAAGTGCAAGATTAGATTTTATCAAATAGTAATGGATCCACTCACTTTCCCAATACATAAATCAATTTCACAAAGGTCGTCTTACAAGAAGATGGCCAAGGATATTATCAAGAGATTTTCTATTACAATTGAGTATAAGATTGGGAATTTTACCCATCAGCAGTTACCCCATTCATTTGGTATAAAATTAGGGACTTTTTCCATCTCCCCATATTGTGCAGACAGCTTCATTGAAAAGGAATCAATTTGAACTCCACTCTGTTATACGGATGTTACTTGAACAGAATTTTCAAGAAATCACACGTTTAAATGCCTTGTGAATCTTTTAGCCAGATAACGAAGTCCACCGAACACTAACTAATAGGCCCTGTTTGATCAATCAGGGTGCCGACCTGTTCTCCACATAATGCCCTTGATATATTTCCCGGCTCATGAAGATTGAAAATGACAACTGCCAGAAAAGAATGCATCTTAATTGAGATAGAAGTATATAAAATTTAGAATTAATTCTTCTCTAGCATGTCCAATACAAAACCATGCAAGGATTAAAACAGATCCAATTAAAGCACAGGTGAGAATGCCAGAGACAGGTACAAGATGCATAAAAATTAATAAAAGTACCGCTGTTTATGCAACTGTGTGTGGGTGAAAGTGAGGGGGGACGGGTTGGTTGGTAGCACGAAATGAGTTATGGACCTGGAATCCCATTCTCCTCGCAGAATGTCATAGCCATCATGTCCATTGGCGATGCACCTCTAGAAGCCAAGTCCCTGAAGGATATGTGCTCTGCCGCAATATTGTTATTTCTAGGGTCGCAAACAAAAACACCGTCCATGTTTGTTCCTTTCATGACCACATCAGCATGAACTGAATTGAATCAAGATTTGAAATATCTATCAGAACTGGTAAGAAATCAAGAAGAATTTTAAATCATAAATTAATGCTATACTTTCTGATGCTCTAAGAGCTGCAGCTGTATCAGTAGAAAAGAGTGGATTTCCTGTCCCAGCTCCAATACCGCCAAATATCACCACTCTTCCTTTCTCAAGATGCCGGATGGCTCGTTGTCTACTATATGGTTCAGCAACCTCTGGCATAGAGAATGCACTCTGCACGCGTGTCTGCACACCCAATTTCTCCAAAGCCGACTGCAGCAGTATGGAGTTCATCACGGTTGCCATCATTCTGGTCTCAATAAGAATATTATCATTGTCAGCCAGCTCATGAATGAGAACAGGTTAACCACAATGACACACCTCCCTTTTCTATTTATTAACTTACCTACTTTATAAATAACTTTGAGACTCCTCAAATTTTCAGATGAGAAAGATTGTGTGCAGCTGGTGAACAAACAAAAGTACCATAACAAAGGCTGCATAATATTTTCAATTGCATAGTATGAATTGTCCAAATTAATTAAGAATTTCATTAACTAAAGTGCCTTCTCACATTTGAAGGGTGAGTCAGAATTGTTTTGATGACTGAAGATTCATATTAGAGGAAGGATAAAGAAGGGAGTAAAAAAGTTAATTTTATTTTTAGTGCAAAGATCGTAGTAGAAAAAAATGGCAGTCATTCAAAAATGGTTGAGAGGCTTCTAAATTAGAAGCCCATTGTAATTTACTAAGTTGAGCTGCACAAAGCAAAACAATATGACCCTTATTCCCAAACAATCTAAGGTCAAAGTATCATGTCTCTCACAGGGCACACCCTCACTAACCCTTACCACTGCACGTTGCAATCTAATGCAAAGCTTCGTCGGTAAGGGAATAAACCAATTGAAAGCAAAGAGGATTCACACCGTAAGAAGTAACAAAATTTTATGATGGTTGACAACCAGTCTTAATCACCCTCCTATATCCAAGCATGAGATCGGATATGAAAAATAGGCGAATTGTGTTGCAAGAGGATCATATGGTTGAAAATTAAACTAGAGAGCTCGGCGAGCTTAGGAGAGCCATGACTTATACTTTAGTGGAATGGAAGGGTGATACAGATTATCCTAGAAATTAAGGAGGAAGTTATGCATTTTTATTAACGAATACAATGATTTGTTCACTGAATTTTGATTACACCAGTTAAGAGAATTTTGGTATTTATGATTTTATAAACTCTCTTTAGGATAGTTAAATGGTCTCATGTTACATTATTTGATTTAATGCCGTAGCTATTAATCCTATGGTGTCGCACTTCCTCTGAATTCTCTTTTGATTAATAAAATTATTTGATTACTTATCGAAAAAAAAAAATGTTATACTATTCGAGTGAAAGTGATTGTACAAGGATATGGGGTAGTTTCTAAACTAACCAAGCCTAAAATTTGTCAACAACACAGATAGGATCAGGATGGTGAGCAGACTATGTATATTGTTACATTTTTCCATTTAATTTTTTTATTTTATTATTATTATTATTATTATTTTATGAAAAAGGAATTCATGATAGTGCTGGAGTTAGATTCCCGAAACTCAATGTTATAACAATTACCAACACCAAAAAATCATAAGCTTATGGTTTATCAAGTGAAGTAGACATCAGATTGCACGGTAAATTCTGATGGCATAGGAGTCTATTGGTAGATTTACAATTCATTTCATAATCTAATAGGATAAAGAATTACTAAAGTCGATTTAGCAAATTGCCTCCACGGGTAGCATTCTTATTGTGGACGATTGTAAGGGGGCAGGTGTCAATGATGGAAAATCTTCGACGAAAAGGCTTTTATTTAACCGAGTGATGCTATATGTGCAAAAAGGATGGGAAAACGGTATACCACTTGTTCATTCATTGTGATGGTGTTTGCTGGCTTTGGAACAATATCCTGACTTCTCAATCTATGGTTTGGGCGCTGCCAAGGCTATAGAAGACGAATTGCAAGCATGGAGGCGAAAACTTCATGATAAGGATAGCAAACTTGTATGGAACCTTATCCCGGGATGCATTGCATGGTGTGTTTGGAGAGAAATGAACAATCGTTGTTTCTAAGATCAAACAAAGATAATAGCGCAGATTAGGGAAATGTTTTATTTGACTTTGTATAATTGGTTTAATACCGCGGCTAAAAATCTTGTAGAAGGGTTGCCTATTGTCATGTTGTTCCCCTCTTGTTTAAAGTGATAGTACACATCCCATGTAATCTCTTTTAATTAATAAAATTTTGATCACCTATGAAAAACAAAAACAAAAAAAAAAAAAACAAACAAAACTTGAGGGGTTACCACTCATGAGATAACTTAATCAATTTTTAAGAAATATGCAGGATTGCAGTTTTGGCAATTAATGTCTCTGATCAGTGGGAAATTAATGTGGACTAGAGGAGGAAAATTATCACCACTCACTTCACAATATACTTATAACTATAAGCACAGTAATAATGTAAATTTGAAGATGTACTCGAGAATTGATCAAGCTATAACAATCAATTTTATATCTTTCACAAAGTTTCTTTGTATCGTTGTATTTCTCTTCATATATTTACAATTTGTTAATGTTGTTAAAATAAATTAAAAGATATTAAAAAATGTAATCATCTGTGCAAATTCATTGCAAGTAATTTGAGAAAACAACAGGTATAATTTACCAAAATACTACTGAGAAGTAATCATGCCATGCAAAAAATAGAAAATATGAAAGAAAAGTCTTAAGAAAATTATTTAAAACGATAGTCTAAATATAAAATAAAGATGAGTAAAATGAGAAATGTAAGTTTGTTTTCTTTGATAGAAACACAAAAGTCGTTCGGGAAATGTCAGTGTAATTCGTTAGTTAGCTTGCAAATTGGATCCAATTATAAGAAAATAAAATGGGGTTAGCATAAACCTTTGGATCTATATTATTTGAAGCATTTCCAGCTAGAGCAGCACCACTTATTTTGAACACGACTCTTCGCCACCTAAGATTAGCAGATGGTTTCGACTTCATCGTCATAATCTGACCACCGGGACTTGCAGTTGCAGTTGCAGTTGCAGTTGTTGTTGCATGTCTGCCCTTGGAGAATGGTATAGATCAAAATAGAAGACAAAGAAGTCAAAAAAATCAAAAAGAGTATAGAGTCTACCCACTGAAAATATGTCCAAAAGGCAGCTTATATCATAAATTTCAAACTCAAGAAGCATAGACTCCACTATGAAACAACTAAGATCCACCCATATCAAGTCCTTGAGCTATTGCTCTTGAGGAATGGCCCAGTCTGGCCCATTCCTCTAAAGAAGTTTTTACGGGATCCCTAAATTCCATCATTGATAGATCATCTATCTAATTCACTAATTCAATGAANGCCCATTCCTCTAAAGAAGTTTTTACGGGATCCCTAAATTCCATCATTGATAGATCATCTATCTAATTCACTAATTCAATGAAGAATGGACCAATAAAGGGATTTTTCGAGAAATGAGAAATCTTCGATTTTTCAATAAAGACGAATTTTAACTTGTTTCTTCCTTATAACATAAAAAGTCACTAAACTTATCGAATTAACTTCTCATTGATGTATTCTTTCGTCGAGATTCAATCCAAATCATGATGGCATTTTCTCATCATAAGCTAAATAGGTTAAAAGCACTATTAGACACCGAACCGTCAGTGACCCTTCTTGTTTCAGTTTGGTCACTCAGTTAAAATTTAATCGATTTTCTACAAAAAATGTCCATCATACAGAACTTTTCTGAATATCTCCGTCATACAGTCATCAAAATAACAAGAGGCAGATAGGTTACAGAGAAAATGAAATTCACAATAAAATCAAGATATATTTTTCATATATACCTCTTTGGCTGCCTAGTACAAATGGAGGATCCACCGCTGACAGAGTTCTTTTCCTCGTCTGCAGCAGCTTTAGCCGCAATACTGTTCCCAACAATTTGCTCCATCTGCTGGAACCAAGGCCAGTGACTCGCCGATAAGCCACCGTTGCTCAACCGATGCCTCTCCAATTTGTATCGCTTTTTCAAATTATCCACCTTGTTCTTACACTGCTCCACGCTCTTGCTCTGCTTATCGCATCTATCGCTAACCGTCGCCGCCACCTCCTCCCAGTCCCTTCCCCTCAAATTTCCCCTATTTAACTGCACAAACTTATCGGTATATGCCTCCAACAAGCACGCGATGGCCGTGTCACTCCATTCTTCTCTGTCCTTCCTGTAGTCACCGGCGGAAGACGAGGCGGAGTGTAGTCTCGTCCTTTTTGACACGCCATTGCTGATCTCATCGCGCTCGGTAGCGCGTTTACCGGATCGGGAACTCGGATCCGGTTCGGAATCGAATGGATCGGAGTCTTGGTCGTACGGATTGACGCTAAACGGCGGGGTTTGGATGGTGGCGGAAGGTTGGGTGGAATCAGGGTTTTGGTGGTCGTCGAGAAGGGAAAAATCGTCGTCACAGGAGGCCATGGACGGCGTTAGGGTTAGGGTTGACGGAAACGGAGAAGAACAGACGGACGTGAGAGAAGGCGTTTGGGGGATTTGTTGGGTTGAGGGAGAGGCGTTTAGTGTGTGACGAGTCCGTTAGGTAAGCACGTGTTGCGCGGTCACGTGAGGGGGCCCATTTTTTTTTACGTTACGAAAAAGTTTCCGTTTCTAATTTGCAAGTTCCGTCCTGAAGTTACGATTGAGACTTCTATTTGTACATGCAGTCCTCAAGCTTTGAATTTGATCGCATCTTCATGCCATCTTTAAAAAATGCCTAATCATGTTTAGCAATGGAGAACAACACTTTGTATAGTGTGGCAACTAATGAACATACTGAACTCTTTGACAACCTTAGTGAAAGGGAAGGTAATGTGCTTACAAGTAGGGATAAAAATGAGTCTTTTATTCCAAAAATTTTGACTATAGAGGTGTGAAGCAATGTTGAAGGGTTCTAGGTGGCCTGTGGAGAATGGAGCACGAGTTCAAGTTCAGTCTTTTAACAATTTGTGGTTGTCAAGACCAACTTCATTTAGATCGATTACAACAAGCTGCTAAGGGCAGAATCATGAGATACAACGAGAATGAGAGTTTCTTGTCAATCTATTCGTTGGGACATTATTTGTTAGGATATTCTCGTTCTCCATTTCTAGCATTGAATATTTTTTTCGAAATGACATCCCCAAGAGTTGAACACTACTCTTTGCATGCCACATTGGTCCTAAAATGCACCCATAAGCTCATGCTATATAGCTTGCTCAGGAGATATTATAAGATGTGGTCATACGAATATGTGAATTAGAATTGAGTAGTAGTTGTGAATGTCACGAAATGTGTAGATAAAAAGTATATTTGACTAACTTAAATTATAATTCAAAAGAAAGCTTTGCCAACACATGCCAATACAGTAATATAGGTGATGACCTCTAAGCCAATGCTTGGCAAGTGTTCAAGTCAAATCACCTTATGTCAACAAATATTGTGAGATCGACAAGCCAAACATGTGATTAAGACATCATAAGCATGCAAAGGCCTCCATGTCACTAAAAGGCCCAACGACAATTTGCACTACAATGGTGAAATTAGTTGCCTTAAGAGGATGTAATTTGGGTTTGGGAGAAATAAATGGACACAAGTTTTGGCTAACGATATAATATTGCACATCTTTTCTTCAATTCTACACAAGGTATTTATAGGAAAATAATATGAAGGGCATTTGTAAACTTTCATCATTTTTTGTCACACGTTGGGTTGCAATCACAATTAGATCAGGTATGATTCTATTTCTTTTAAAGCGGTTTTTTTACAAAGTGTCTGTGGGCCTCTTGCTATTCGGAGTTAGGAATCTTCAAATGCCCCCCTCCCTTCCCTCCCCCTTCCCAATATGGCATATTATGCGACAAGGAATGCATAGTCACAAGATTCTTGCCTTATATTAGGAATATCATGTGCGTTTCTCCATCACTCCTACTATCGAAAGAAACGTGTGAGGAGGATTTTCTTTAAGTTAAATAGATTTCCATTTTTGGCTTCACTTGCTATGGTTGACGAGGTGCAGACTCATCCTTTTCTATATAGCTATGAGATTAGTTGCATTACAAAATGCCTCATAGGAAGTCCCTTCATTCACGGTATATAGATTCTGATGAAACAAATTTTAGATAAGGGGAGGCACTTCGTTTGCTTCTAGCAAAGCACTTTTTGTTCATATAAAGCTTAATAGAGAGGCTTCTTATGATGTGGTGGGTACATCCGACATGGAACTTTAATCTTATGTAGCATGCACATGGACGAACATATAATGAAAGAATAATGATTTTTAACACCATTGATGCTAAAACATCATCCTACCTGACATGTTGGCGGCATTGAATAAGGAGTTGTGAAACTCATTTAATTGAACTTATCAAGTGTTATCATGAGGTATTTTTTAGTACTAGTGATATTATATAATTACTCACAATAAAATAGCAATAAGATTTTCGAGACATGTGGAAGTTGTTTCAAAGAAAGAAAGAGAAAGAGTGCCCAATTCCAGAAAGGAAGAACGAGGGTAACTAACAATTAGCAAGCATACAAACACCATTATCACACAGTTCAACTGGCTCTAAAACAAAAAGTGTTACAAAATAAAAAGATTGAGAATGATATTGCTCAATAATTAAAATTAAAGATCAAATTACTACAAATATCTTAGATTGAATACCAATAGTGCAATTTCTTCTCCTGTGACTTAAAACTAACTCAAAAACACGCACGTGGCGTCAAAATCACGCAGGTAAGCTGTGGCCTTGTACCATTTAACATGTTTGACACACACATCAACCGACACATATTTGTAGTTGGACTACTTACTTTTTAATGGCTTTAAGTTTGTGAAAGAAAATGTTTTTCTCCATCAGGCAAATGTACTCCCACTCTGAAATATCACTCACTTATTGCTTATGAACATACAAAAATGAGTGATATCAGTAGATTGTACAATGAATTCCATAAAATAGGTTGATAAAAAGTGACTTGATTTTTATAAATATTTGTAAAATATAATTAAGATTTTTACATAATAATTGAAGGTTTGAAGTGCTAATCAGAATTAAAAGGCAAGTATACAAAGAAATTAAGGGATGTTAAATTTATTAAGAAAAAAAAAATATTTGGGAAAAGGAGTGAAAACCAGCATCCATATGTTCCCATAAAACATTTAGCCCCAACTTAATGACCATTATAAAGAGAAATTGATGGAAAATGATATTTTAAATAGTGATTTTTTGAAAATGTGGGATTAAAAAGTAGAGAAAAGTTTTGGGTTTACTTGAAAAATATTTATTGTGTGAATATATTATTGAAAATGAGTATGAAAAATATTAAATTTAGAGTATGTTGGAAACCTATGACACACTTGGAATTCACTGCTTCCTCTGTAGTTTGCAGTATGTTGTGACCTAAAAAGGGACAGAAGAAGAAAATGTAAACAGAGCAAATGGATATTTCTTGTGATTTTAGTGTAGGTTCTGAAAGTAGCACTTCATCATGGGATGGCCTTGGGAATTGTGAAGTCACATGATCGAGCTATCATCAGCCACAAAGTTGGAGATGCATCTGTAGTTAAGATTACTGAACTCGAAGATTAAAATGCTTGGGCCAACATTTATAGGCTATACGCCCATTCATTTTTGTCAGTGGACGGACAATGATGAATGGATTGAAAACTATCCCATGGTTTATTTATAACTTGAATGTAGATTCGGCTATTCCTCTTCATAGAAATTGTTGTAACGCAAATCGATTATGAGCACCACAATTTTTATGTTAGAACCTACAATTGATTTGTCGTGATGTTGAAATGCTGTCTTTTAGCTTTCGAAACTTATACTATGAAACTGCTTATCAGGATTAAGTTAAGCAATTATTTGACATAACAACATTATGAAGCATTGTCTTGAAGGATAGAGCTAAATCAGGCTGTATATTGCGTTTATTATACAATGCTAAAATGTTAGGCAGCGCTCACTTATTGGGAGTGGCGGAAAAAGGATTTGTAGAGTCTGTACTAGAATAAGGCTTAATTTGTTATAAAATGCAATATTACAAATCACCAATGGAGAAATCGGAGTTTATATCCACTATATCTTTACTTCCAAGGTAAATGAATGAAGAACTGAAGTAAGAAAGGACACCTAAAAAAAGAAGTGCAATTAAATTCCCAGAAGATCTCCTCAATATTTGATGTTTTATTAGGTTACTTCGACTCTTTACAGATAAGTATAGAAATTATTTCTGCAATCTTCAAGAAGCGCCCATGGCCTAATGGATAAGGCGTCTGACTTCTAATCAGGCGATTGTGGGTTCGAGTCCCACTGGGCGTGCTGGTTTTTATTTTATGTTCCCAATCTGGTAAATATTCAGCTTTTTTTTATTGTTATTTATAATTATAAAAAATGTCATTTTTAAGGAAAAGTGAGTTTTTTTTTTTTTAAATAATCAATAAAATTTTCTGGTTTTCAAAGTTTGCCAAATGCTCATTTTTATTTTACGTTTTCAATCCGGTAAATATTCAGTTTTTTTATTGTTATTTATAATTAGAAAATGTCATTTTTAAGGAAAAAGTGAGATTTTTTTTATATTAAAAAAATCAATTAATTTCTGGTTTTGAAAGTTTGCCAAATGCTCACTGATGTTTTAGAATCGTGATTGAGAACTTCAAAAGAAATGGTAAAAAATTTGGCTCATTTTTCATCACGGTCGAGATTGTTGAGAAAATTTCCTCAAGTATTCCAAAATAAAATAATAGTATTGAAAGGAAATAAGGTGAAATTTTCCGGTTAAAATCCGGCGATTGAAGAAAATATGCCGAAAGATACCATTAATCCTGGTCAGGATATTGGCAAAGTTTCCATTCTGATTTGCACTTGTTTTGACTGCTGAAATTTGGAGTAAATTGTAGGTCAAAATTGTAGCGATGTTTGTTATAAATTGATGACGTCCTTTTTCTTTTGTACGCGATTTGAGATGAAAAATCATAAGTTTAGCAAAATTCATGGGAGTTTTTTTGTAGTTAGTTCAAAGGAGTATAAAATTGTGAGTGGGGAAAATCTTTAGTGGTTATTTTCCTACAATACTTGGAGGTTCGATTAGATTGTACAATTTTTTCAAATAGTGCAAAACTTTGACAAAATTTCCCTTCTTTATATATTTTTCTCTCAACAAGCATCTTGTTGGATATTTGGTTAAATAAATCGAGAATTGAAAATCGATTAAAGTGACTTCGTATCGACTTCGGACAAATACTCAAAAGCTCGACTCAATCCGTTTAGGCAAAATTGTTTGCCACTTCGCCGCTTCGGGGCGCACAAATGGGGATCGATCTGTCCGGTCAGGTCGCGGGGGTCGAGGGGGCAACGCCCCCGAAAGAGAATTTTGATTTCTCTGCATGTATTGAAGGGTATATTTGGCATTTCGAAAACCAATATCGGATGAATGAGAAATTACGAAAAAGGACGAAAATCGGGTCAATATTTGACCGTGCGACCGCATGGTTGGTAAACCGCGCGATCACACGTCAAATTCAATTCCGATTTTTTGAGGAAAACCGTGCGACCGCACGGTTTATAACCGTTGTCCGGTGAATAGACACCTTTTCATAAAGGTGCATTGTTTG